ATTTCTTCGTGTCCTAGAAGATCGAAGAAAGACAAAGAGCGGAAGGTGAAGTACGTCGACATGGAAGCGTTTATCAATGATGAGGACCGCGCCGTGAGCTTGGAATTCGCCAAGCACAAAGCGAGATTGAGGGCACAGATCATGAGAGACATGGTTGACGACGATGATGATCAATGCGGAGATCGAGTTTCATTCGTACGAATCCCAGGAACGTCTCGAGTGGAAGAAGTTTCTTTCTACGACGGTGAGGATTCCATCGTTGAGCGCGAACTCGATGCTGCGCACAGCAAACGGATCATCAATCAAGGCGTATTCAAATGCATGGTTCAACCAGTCATCCTCAAGAAGAAGATCAAGTTTCTCATGGACACTGGGTGTGGTCACGACCTCATATCTCAGAAGAAGATCGAGAAGCACAGTCTCGAAACACTCGTGACTCCAGAGCCCATATCATTTCAGACAGCCAATGGAATCACCGATACCGATCTCGTGTCGAATTTCCAGACTGAGTCGTTCGAGGAACCGATCAACGCTTATGTGTTGGATGACACACCGTCGGTGCTTTCCATAGGCAAGAGATGTATGAACTTCAACTACGGGTTTGTGTGGCCACCCGGAAGGGAACCATTCATGATCAACCCGCAGGGCAAGAGAATATCTCTGTTCGTGAACGGTGACATCCCGTACGTTCGTGCCGGGAGTTCTAAGTCATTGGTTCATGATGATCCGGAGGCCAAAGCGATCACCGAAATCTTCAAGGGTGCGCTAACAGCGGGCAATGTTGACGTCAGCGTCGCAGCTGCCGCTGAAGCTGCACCGAGCGAGATTGAAGCAGAAGAAGAAGGTGACGATCATGAACGACCTCCTGATCCTGAACCCCAAGAACCTCCTATAGAAGAAGTACCAGAGTCCGAGGCCGGACGACCTCCGGACGACGACGAAGGAAAAGGAGTGGGTGAAATTCCATTGGATGGTGATGATGAGGTGATCATTGATGTGGAAGGCGACGGTGCGCCGAGCCGCAAGGCCAGAGTCGGAACACTGAAAGCCGAAGCTAAGACGTTGGCACATCTGTGTACTCATCGCTACCGCAACCCATATTGCGAATCGTGCATACGCGCGAAGATGAAGCACTTGCGAACACAACGAGGTGCGTTTCAACGTGTGATCAAACACTGGGGAGATCTTGTGACGTTCGACTTCCTTGATATGCGCAAGGCCGCCGAAGCAGGCATCGGACTCGATGACGGAGCACGTGAAGTTCTAGTCATCAGAGATATCGCCACCAAAATGATCGCAGCGATTCCCACGGCTTCAAGGAGTACTGACGAGGTCGTCATGGCCATCAGACGTCTAATGGGAAGACGCAAGATTCATATGGCGTACAGTGATGAAGCACCAGAGTTCGATTCAGCTATGGCGCAGTTGAAGATCGTGATAGATCATTCCCTTCCAGGGAAACCCAGTAACAATTCACTCGCTGAACGATCAAATCAAGAAGTGATCAACACAGTCGCAGCATCCATGCTACACGCCGGATTGCCCGCTCAATACTGGTCCTTTGCGCTTAATTGCGTGATGCAGAACCTCAACGTTGAAGACGTGGAGGGCGATGGTGATTCAGCATGGAAGCGAATGACTGGAAAGGACTTCGAGGGAAAAGCCATACCCTTTGGGGCCAAAGTCTTCTTCAAGCCGACGGACACAAGGCCGAAGACATATGGCAACAAATTCGATCCAAAGGGGATCCCAGGCATTTTTGCCGGATACATCATCACTGCTGGTCAAGGATGGTCCAAGAAGTATCGCGTTTGGGATATGAAGGAATTTGCCAATGCGAACTTGTCGATGGACGCATCTGTTCCCAGGAAGTTGATGAGACCGTACGAGACAGAAGTTATCTACTTCCCAGAGGAGATAACGTTTCCCCTGAAAGCCGAGTACGAAAGGATGAATTCAACCATTGAGGGACTCAGGGACAACGTTGACCTCGCTGGCAAGGAGATAAAAGACGTCGATGACGGTGATGACGGTCCGCCCGGAGGAAATGGTGGCGACGGGGATGATGATGATCAAAATGGACTTCTTCCTCCACCGGATCCCGGAGAAGATCCTGACTTACAGGACATAGATCCATCTGACATAGAGACGGAGCCGTCCGGCGAAGTCTTCAAGTCAGCAGAACATGAAGCTATTGATGCCATAGGAGACAAAAGACTCGAAGAACTAGACGAAGAGCTGGGTCTACGTGCAGCACCGCCTCCTTCTGAACCAAAGGTCACTGGGAAAGATCGACGATCGCCCCGCGAAGTCGGTCCAACCGGTAGACTCATCCCCGAAGGAGACATCGAAGAACCTGGAGAGATTATCAAGATCTTGAAAGAAAAGAAGTTGGCTCCCGAGGAGATTGAACATTGGAGTACGGGGAAGAAAGGGGACGGCATTGTATATCTCACCGATGACGGTGAAGCCTGCAAGATCGACAAAAGGGGAGTTCCGTATAAGATCCGAAGTGACGGTCGACGAACTCTTCCTACACGGTTGTGACGCGGCTCCAAGCTACTTCTATCTTTTCCGGAAATCATTTATTTTCCGACCAAAAACCGAATCACCCTATTTTGAGAAAGCAAATAAAAAGCAAAAGAAAAGCGTCCAAAAAGGAGACCAAAGTGTAACGGAGCTTCAAAAAGCGATCGGAAAGGACTTCCCAAAGCGACAAAAAAGGGTCAGAAAAGCAAGCACATCGAAAAAAAGGGATCCGAAAAGCGATAAAAAAGGGTAACAGACTCTTTAAAAAGCAAACCAAAAGCAACCAAAAAGCAAATAAAAAGCAAATAAAAAGCAACGAAAAAGGCAACCAAAAAGCAACCAAAAAGCAGCCAAAAAGCAACCAAAAAGCAACACAAACACATCAACATGTATCGCAGTAATAAAGTAAAAGCAATGGGGTCCGGGAAGACAAGCAAGATCACAAGCAAGGGTAATTAGGTCATAATCAAGCCATAATTAGGCAAGGACAGCAAGAAACGTTAAAATCGTTGAAAATTCGCTTGAACGAAGAGAAGGGTCAGGAGAAGCAAGAAGCAGTGGTTGGGAGAAAGCCAACGCCACAGATATGACAGATAGGACCATTTCCAAAATTGGACCGATATTGCCAAATCAGAATCAGACAGGAAAGCAGGTTCAGGGCCAGGTCGTTCGAGTGTTTTTGTTGGAGAGAGTGTGTGGACAATGACAATTTTGTATGGATGCCCGGATGCCACACCGCACCAAGTTGGATTCCTTTGGCCAAAGATTTGTGGAATACGTGTCGATGTTCGCCTTCTTGACCATGTCGCCCACTTCTTGAATGGTGTGAGGAGGTTTGATCTGAAATAATCGAAGCCGTGTTTGAAGCCTTTTTCTACTACTCACACAGTGTAGTGTAGTGTAGTCAGTGTGGTCCACAATTCTCATTCAGAAGGCCAATGTGATGACAGAGTATGAGAGTGTATTATGATGTGCAGATGTGAGTACGATTGCTAGAAGCGTGTACTTATACCGGGCAGCTTGGGAAGCTGCTTGATGTATGTCGGTAGTCCCAATTCGTTTTGTTTGTGGCCTGCTCCTCAATTCCATTCCAGTTTGCGTGGCGGAATTTAGTTTAACTTTTGCATTTTCTATATGCGGCTGCCGTCGTATGCTCCGAGACGAAAGCTTGCATCTAAGCCGTGCTGTAGACACACTATCGTACTTCTAGCAGATTCTAATAGATTCTAGCAGACACCACCCAAAGCATTTCGGAGACTGCATAAGCGTGGGCTTGGTGCAGCAACTTCTCACTTGTCTGTTTTTTCTTTCAGATTGCAAGGGCAAGGCTGGGGCCAGGGTCCAGGGTAGAAGTTCTAGGGTTGTTGGGCTGTAGACTGTAGACTCTGTAGACCTTCCGGCGCTGTACACTGTACAACCTGCTATCTGTGCTATCTGCTTCTTCGTGTCAAGCATGCATTTGGCAGCTTGGATAGTTTTAGTCGTCGTGCTGTAGCAGGTCGTAGCACTCTGTAGCAGCCATGAAGGGATGGAAGGCCATCACGGCGGCGAGTCTCGAGGCATCGGATCGAGAGATGGAGGCAATCATGAATGAGGCAGACTTGTTGCGCGAAGCTTCAGACTCTGACAGCGAGCCCAGCCCGATCCCCTGCAGTTCTCAAACCTCCGACGAAGCTTGGTCGTGTGCTATCTGCTATTCTTCAGACAGGTCTGTAGAGTAGAGTATTGTAGAGTTAGAATGTCGCAGCAGGTATTGTGTGCTCGGTCAGGGCGGCTTGCGGTGCACAGTGTTGGGCAGTGCATGTCCCTTTCAGTCCACTGAGCCAGCAGTATCCACCATAGTGTCATTTGACAATGCGCCCGAGTTGTGTGACAAGGAGTGGTTCGTGTTTGACATCAAGATGCACACTCGAGATGTGGTTCCACGTGGAATTTGTCGCAGCTCTCCGATAAGCTTGGTTTCTTGCTGCACGGGCGCTTTTTCGGAGGCAGTGTGCCTTGAGGCCCACACGTAACATGTCATCCGATTTCTTGCGAATTTGCTAAACTATTGCGGGCAGTTCAGCTGAGAGTCGCCAGTCTGCACAGCGAAGTTACACATTCACCAGTGGTTCATGAAGCTGCCATACACGTATCTTTCGACTGTTGTGCCGTGGATGTGTTGGGCTTGAAACATTTGGTCTTTGCGCCAGGTGCTGGGCATTCCGTTCACAGCGGTCGGAGCTTCAGAGATGAATGAGACGGCTCGCAGCATCATCATGGCCAATCACCCGCCGACTCACCTGCACGAAACACTTCGTGATCAAATAGAGCATGAAACATGTCGGCTTCATGGGCAGTGTCAGCAGAAGTGCGGCATGCGGGAGAGTGACTTGTGTGTCTGTGGATCTCCGTGTCCCCCGTTTTCTACTTTCCGCAGTAAGAGATTCCTGGAAGATTCAGTGCGGGACCATGTGCTGACAGATACGACAATGATAGATGCAAGGGACATGCTCCTGCACGGGCAGCACAAAGCCTTCATCCTTGAACAAGTCCCGGGCTTTGACAAACATGAGACAGCTTCGGATCCATCAAAGCCCACTCCGTTGCGCAGGCGGGCACACAACTGCTTGGTTCAGATGCTTAGTGGCTTACGGTAAAAGCCAGAAAGTTGGAATATGATTATCCTAACCCTTCGATGGTAAATTATAGGGTATCCTACCATGATACCATATTCCAACTTTCTGGAGTTCCCTGTAGTTGGCTGAGTCCGAACTTACTGCCTGTAGTATCTTTGCGAACCTCAATTCAGTAAGCTTTGCGGCATGAGTGCATTCAGCAGACACTAGAAGCTAGACTTGCAATGCACATTGCAGGCAGTGTAGTTAGCAGTTAGCATGTCCGGAGTCAGAGATTGCGGCCTCTCATAGTTGTTAGTTTGACAGAGTGCTCAGAGTGATGCGACATTTCCCCGTTCGACACGAACAGTTCACCTTCGCCCAGTTTTCTTGTTGCTGTGTTGCATTGTGGTTCGTTCATTGTTTTCTTCGTTGCAGGTCAAGGGCTTTCATGTGTTTCAAGCGGCTCTTGGGCTTTTCTTCGTTGCAGGGGTCAAGGGCTTTCATGTGTTTCAAGCGGCTCTTGGGCTGGTCGCCCGGGTGTGCGAGGTGTGCTCGCAGTTGTTACTCTTATTATTTATGCATTGCATGTATTCGAGCTTGAGCAATTGAAGTTCCACGAACACAGAAGTATCCAAGTGGAGTCAATGTCCGAGTTGAAGCAATAGGACCGCAAATTAACATGAAGCAGCACTCGCAAACCAATCCATAATCAACCTCGGCCAGGTTTCTGGATATGATCCACACCGAGCTGAAGGTGGCCAAGAAGCCAGGCTACCATGCCGTGGTCCTGAGGGCTTCCCATCAAGATTGGGTCCAGCTGATGCGTGACAGGACCGATTCAGCACACTGCAAGGGAAGAGAGAGCATCAGAGAGTGAGTGAGCGAGTGCACGTATGTGTGTGAGTCAGTGGTGGCAGTGGCAGCGTGGTTCGGACCTGTTGTTGCTCCAGGCTTTGTGAACAGCTTCGTAACAAGGTTTATCCCAGTCCAACGGCTCATGAAACTTGTTTCTTCTGCAACCTTGCAGCTTGTCGGTCACGTTGTGTTGCGGTTCAAAAGCTTGTGAGAGAACTGTGTGTGTTCTTGTGCGACAAGCAACTGAACAATGAAAGCATCCATGGATGTGTTATTGAGGTTGTGGCTTGGGCAGTCCGTCGGATCTTAATGTTGACCGTTATGATTGGTTGATTAACTCATTCGAACCCTCGCAATCATGAGAATCAGTACGACTACGACTACGATGGATTATGGCACTACGGCACCATGGTAAGGTCTTGTTATATTTGCTCAACTTCTGCGCAAGCTTCTGCGCAGCCATGTTTGTAACATGTTCTGCAGTGCCATATGCCTCCTTCGGGAGGGCAGCCACGTGTGGGGCGGCCACCTGGCCGTGCTGGGTTCAGGGAAGCTTTGAGAGGCTTGGAAGATGAGGTTGATGCTGAGCCGGCTCAGCCTTTGGACGATGACGAGCGACATCAAGCTGCGGTGGAGAGAGCAGCGCAGGCAAGGGCAGCCCGAGCTGGATACACAGAAGCAGCGCCTTGTCAGGATGAGTCTGACGGTTTCGCTTTGGCAAGTTTTGGATTGCTAAAGCTCGGAACAGACTTGCAGCAGCAACTCGCGCAAGCTGCGTGGAAGCTCAGAGGGGCCAAGACAGCCACCGTGGCAAGGTTCAAAAGGATGTTCAGTGAACTGCTGCTGCATTTTCGGCCTACGGGCAGCCTGACCTCACAGGCTGCAATGATGCAGCAGGACAGACAAGCACTGCACGTCGTGATGCAGCAGGCAGCATGTTATTTGGTAGTTTTCTCAGCTTTTTTGATTGGGGCCTTGCTGGCTACCCTGTCAAAGCTGTGTGCTGGTGTGAATCCCAAGACCCACAGGGTGGTGATGCTCCTTGTCCGAAGGGCTTATGATGAAACTCCTTCGGATATCAGCGTCGCTTGGATGACACATTCTGAATTGGGTGCATTTAACAAGAAGCGAAGCAAGCAGGAGGGGACTGCGAAAGTCCTCCAGACCCGATGCGATGTTTTGATTCTGATGAATCATGTCTCGAGCGCGACCTACTACAGCATGAGGATTCCCATGCCTTGCTGGCTCATGGCGCTGGAGAAAACAAATGCTCAGACGACTGCCAAGGCCCAGAGGTCAATTCTGGACATGATTCCTGGCCTCCAGTCCTTCGGCCAAAAGGCCAAATATAATCTGCAACTCGTGACAACCGATCGCTGTGCTTCCAACTTGAAAGCCGAGAGACTCCTCGACACTGGGGGAATCAACGGCTGCACAACACATCATTTTTGTGTTGTGCATATGACCCACACCTGTCAATCCAAGACCGTCCAGATGCTGGACGGTCAAGTCACCGGGATGGTTGCTACAGCTTTGACTTGTATGGACGCGGGAAGCATCCGATCGCTTCGATCATCGATGGAGAAGGTTCTGAAAGACAAGGTGCATTTGTGCTTCGGGTCTCGGCCGGAGGATCCGTTTGCAAACGAGTACAGATCTGCTGTCTTGGAAACCTTCCTACCCTTGCAGGACGATGATGGAGATGAGCATGTTCTTGGCAGGATGCAAGAGCATTACTTGCAAAGAAAGCGAAGTCGAGCCATCATCAACTTCTTCCTGCACGGGGACCTGCAAGACCAAGATGAGATATGGTTCTGGAGTGAAACATGGGGACTGGAGCAAGAGCATGTTGTGCAACTCATGGCAAAATGGCTCATCCCAGTTTTGCTTCCAAAGCGGCCTCCAATCTTTTCGCGCACCCGATGGGACGGGTTCCATGACTCTCTCCTGTGGTTCGGACTGGCACAGGCTTGCCATGGCTTGCTTCGCCCTACGCTGCAAGACTTTCTGAATGTCACTCCGACGGTGCTGCCGCGTGCGGCAGAGGATGACCGTCAGGAGGTCGATGCAGATGAGGCAGACATGGAGGCTGTCACCGGGAACATCGACTGGAAGGAGCTCAAGGTGAAGATGCGGCAGAAAGTGCAGGTGTGGCTTCAACAACCGTTGTTCCCACCTGTGCTTCTTATGCTTCAGGCCTTGCGGCCAATGTCTCGATTTTACCACCGCCTGATTTATTCGGGCGGTGCGGAATGGGAAGACATTGAGAGGACGAAAGAGTCCCAAGGCTGCCGTCGATCGTATGCGGTGCTTGAGGCGGCGCGGGAATCAGATCTCAATGCTTACCGGCGGAGTGTGAGTGACACCTTCCACGAGCAGATCGTGCTTCTCCCGCGATGGTGTCACTTCCGCCACTACCAGGTGCTTCTGTTTCGCATGCTCAGCCGCAATGTGTGCAGCACGGAGTTTCTGATCGGCACAACCTACAGGTCATACCCAATCAAGCTCTTCAAGAGTTTAGACAAGGTGCACGAGGCGACGGATCCGGAGTGCATGCACTGCCGTCTCACAAAGCTGATCCTCTCGGAGGGTTGTGACCTGGACAGTCCTGAGTCGCAAGCTGTTCTGACGGCCATCGCTTCAATGTTTCAGTTGCACATTGCTTCGATAGAAGCCCGCCATGCATCAACACGGAGAATCACAACCATCAAATCGGTGCAAACACACCGCCCGACACTGACGGCCGTGGGGGCCGATTGGGTGTGCCGACATTTGGAGGATATATGTTCAGTCTTGTTTGGTGAGATGTTTAAGTCCTCTGTGAAAGTTTTCAATCTTTTTGAGATGTTGAAGTCCTCTCTGAAAGTGCAAGTTTCAGCCAAGTCTTTGGGCTAGGCCTATGACATACGGTTGATGATATAAATCCTGCATGACCCGGAATAAGGAATATACCATAATTCCCATAGTTTAGGGTCTGTAAGGTAATGCAGGATTTATATCATCAACCGTAGGGCTATGCTATGATTTGATTTGACTGAGGATCGAACAGTGCTGACCGAGCCCAGTTCTGCCGTGACATGCCTGTGTCCGGAACAGCCCAAGCAGACACCGTGCCGCCCGAGCCGAAGCAGCCGGAGCGAAAGAATCCTTGGAATGCATTCCTCAGCGAGAAGTGCCGCCGCAGAATCTCTGACCTCGGCAGCACTTCGTACGCTGCTCTCGTTGAGGAGTACCGTAGCTTGACACCCGCAGAGCATCAGAGGTAGCAAGAGATGGCAGACGTGGCTTTCTGTGCGAGAGCCCGAGGTCTGCCGGGTTATGCTCATCATGGTGCTATTCCTGCAGCAGCGGCATCATCTTCTGGCTCTGGCAAGGAAGTGGCCGTGGAAGCTCTTGTGGCTGTGCCTGCCGCTGGCCACCAGGAGTTGGCAGTCCCTGACCAGGCTTACAAGTTGATGGCTGCAGACTTGTCAGACAAACTGCAGGTGGTTCAGCAGGAGTATCACAGGCGATCTGCGTCTGTGAAAGACTGGTGTGACATTTTTCGCGACAGCCGGGTTCAGCATCGGCAAGATCAAGAGCATCTTTTTCGAGAATGTGGTGTGGTGGAGCATGTGCCTGCGCTTAATGGCCTCGTGTCGGCGGAAATGCGCGTACCAGCGGACAAGATCGGCGAAGTGCCCGGGTTAGATGGTTCAATCATGAGGGACCTAGTCACTACTGGTTCAGAAGTTCTTCCGGTTTCTTGTTTAATCGACTAGGTAACTGTAACTAGGCCCCTAAGCCCTAAGCCTCAGCTTTGGAGCTTTGCAAGGAAGGAATAATGAACAGTAAATTGTACCTCTTAATGGCCCGTAGATAATCAAGGGTTTCAGCTTTAACCGGAAAACTTTGAAAACCAAAAAGAGTCAGCCCGCTACTGATGTAGGACCACAAACCTTGTCACCATGCCTTGTTTGAAGTGTTTCCTGCCGCATGTCTGGTGGCCCTGTGCAGGATCTGCTCTCAGTTGGTGAAAAGAGCACCTTGCGGGCCTCTCTTTTGGACAAGTGGCAGAGCATGTGTGACTTGATTTTGAACACAGATGAGACACCATTTCCAGATGCTTCAGATGCTCTTCCAACTCGTTGTGCACAGCTCGGCATGTGTGTCTGTGCTTCACGTGGCTTGCAAGCTTACCTCTTTCATTGCAGGCTGATTTTCTGTTTGAAGGCATTCTTCACACCCAAGAGATCCCGCAAGATTCGGGATGCTGCTGGCAACATGGTGATCAAGGAGCTGTCGCAAGCCGAGCAGCATCAGCAGACAAAACTGAAATCCAACCGAAAGCTTCTGGATGATGGTTTCGTTGTTGTTTGCTTGCGGCCATCCAGCCGAACTGCCGCAGCAGAAGAGGTTCTGCCTCACAAGTACATGCACTCCTCCTGGAAAGCTTTGGCCCTGACTGCAATGAATGTCAGTGCGGAGGGTGAAGCAGATTCTCCAACTTCCCTCTGGCTCCATCTCGGCCACATCAATTATACGACGTGGGCTCTCGGTGTGTTGCGTCTGGACGAAGCTGGTGCTGATGAGGCTCGGCCTGAGTACACGAAGCTTCAAGTGCCCACACCTCAAGAATGTTGCCATTCCGTCAGAATGTTTGAGCAAAGCGGCATCAATTTCAGTGGCCCGTGGCAGTTCACTGTCAGCATGATCTTGAGCAACAATGATGAGCTGGAAAGGGCCAGCATGCGACCCGACACAGTGCTTGTGAAACAGCATGCAGAAGTGCCCAACATGGAATTCTGGCAGGGCTGGCCGGCAGAACAGGCCCGCCATGAAAAGAACTCCAAAAGTCGACCTGTGCCTTCATCTGGCAAGCGGAAGAAGGAGACATCTTCAGCCACAGCTGGGTTCCGGAAAAGAACCAAGTCTGCGCCGGGCTCATCCACGGATGCCGTGGAGCCTCTGCCTGCACACGAACCGGAGGACGATGTGGCTGGAGATCCAGTGGAAGAAGATCTTCTGCATGATGAGGAAGTCCGCAGTGAGGCCTCCAGCACTCCATGGTCTGAGTATGTGGCCGATGCTTTGGAGAGGGAGGAGCCTGGGTATGATGGAAGCTTGGAAGCGGAAGGCTCCGCTGCAGCCGCTGCAGCAGCGCCAGACATTGCTGCAGGTTCTGTCGATGATGCTGATATGGGTCCTGCTCGTGCAGACACAGCCCACCCACGTGCCGAACCACGCCCGACAACTGTGGTGGGCTTCAAGAGTTTAGGAGACCTTCGCTTCAATGCCAAAGACTGTCACATCATGGCGGTCTGCCGTCATCCTGATCATATTGACTGCAGAATCACCCGCACCACCAACCCAGCTTCAGCTCCACGACAAATTGCGACGAACCCCTCGCAAGGGAGGCCCATCGGGTTTTTGTGTGCCTGGCTCAATGCCGCAGGACAGTGCAGCTCTTCACAAGAGCACAAGCAGATGGCAGTGCCTCGACATCTCAGTCTTCTGTCTAGGCAGGAAGCGAGAGCTGAGTTCATGCGAGAACCACATGCTGCGGATGTTGCGAGTCACGAACGCACACGGAATCACGATGAGCCTGACGAGCCTCCAGTGATTCGGTGAAAAATTGTGACATGCGCTTCTTGAAGCTTCGCTGTTCGTCAGTTCGTCTGCAGCGCAGATAAGTCGCACAGTCATGGATCCTAGGTTTGGACTTTGGATTTTGGTTTGTCTTCAGGGTCTTTGATTCCTTCCCGAACCCCCAGGTAAGTGTGCACGGTTCATTTCCCGGTGCTCTTGTGCAACAGTGAAGCTACTTCGACTGTACCTGAATTTACCTGAATGCAGGATTTTCGTCGTCTTCCTGCGCAAGGACGTGTATGGTGTCGCAGATGCTGGTTTCCTTGCCAAGACTTACAAGGCCAGTTCTGTTTTGCAGCATCGGAGTTCGTGCTGGTGTCAGGTCTCGAGCCTCATGTTGTAATATTGTGTGCACCTGCCACTGCTGCATCGGCTTGTGTTCTGCAGAACAGGTGTAGGACAGTCTAGGCCCAAGTCCAAGCCCAGCCTTCTTCGAGGTGATGAGGTCTGAATGCGAAATGAGCAGGGTGGGGTATAGGTACAATACAGCGGTTAGGTTATGTCCCCGGACAATTGCCTGCTTGGTTAGGCTTAGGCTTAGGCCTAGGCGCTAGGCTGATTTTGTTGGCTCGTTTTTGGATTGCTTTGCAGGACCTCATCACGAAGCAGCAGGAGGCGACCCCGAAGAAGCTCAGCGATCTTTTGCCAGAGAGGAGGCTGGAGGACGTGCCGCGAGGGGTGACCCCGATGGACTGCCAGGTTCTTCTGCTGCAATTCTGTCAGTCAGCAGTGTGGAGCTCCGAGTGGTTAGCAGTTCAGTGCATGGACACGACATTTGGGCAACAAGACCTGGTCACATTATTACACTTGTTGATTGATAGATTTCGGAGTTTGGAGTTTTACTCAGAATGGTTGTATGCTTCGTGATGTTCGATGCTGCAAAGGGCAGGGGTCAAGGGGCATGGAGGGGTGTGGGCGGTGTGGATGCTTTTTCAGGGCCGCAGTGGAAGGCTAGTCGGCTAGTTGCACGAGTTGTTTGATCCGGGAGAATGTTTATGCACGATGAGGGCTTCAGTGGGGTCCTGATGGGGGGAAGGCGGGGGCAGGGAGACAGAACCTGGCTTTCTGGTGTGGTCGCTTTTCTTTTGGATTGTTACTGGCCCTTGCTTTTCAGGGCTCATTTTTTGGAGTCGAGAAATCGCTTTTCGTTTGCTTTTTTGCCACATTGTTGCCGTCCCGTTTTCTCAATTTGGCTGGAAATCGTTCGCTTTTCCAGTGCATTTTATTCCCTTTTTCGGAGCCCTGGCTCCGGACCACCCTGGCAAGCAAAAATTGCATTTTCCCTAGCAAAAAGAGAAAAAAAAGGAACGAAAAAGGGACGAAAAAGGGAAAAAAAAGGGACCAAAAAGGGACCAAAAAGGGACCAAAAAGGAACCAAAAAGGACCAGAAAAGGACAGGGACAGGCACCAAAATGGAGCCAGAAGCCCAAAACAAAGCGATGAGAAAGCAACCCAAAAAACAGCGGAAAAAGCGACACCACGGGCCTCCAGCCAATCCGCACCCAGGGCAGGCCCTCCCAGACCAAGCCAGTTCACCAGCCCCATAGTCACGTTCCTTCCACCAGCCCCCCAAGTCCCAGGCTTCCGGGTCAATATGTGCGCGAGTTTGGTGCTCATCTTTGCAAACCTGGCATGATGATGGTGGCATGGGGTTCGATGCTCACGAAACACAGAGTTTCAAAGCCTAGGTCCTAGGTTTGTGTTTCATCATGAATACAAACTTCAACCGGACTGCCAGCCTCACATACAAGTGCACTGCAGGTCGAACTCCTCTAACAAGGATGAAACCTTTATTTCCAAAAGCAAATTTCGTTTGAAACGAAATTAGTAAAAACTCGCCCTTTTTAGGCTTGTTGTGGATTTATTTTGAAAAGTAGTCGGACACTCTTTTTGAGTATGTGGACTACTTTTCAATGACAGAAAGACATTTTCCTGCTAAAAGCTTATATTTTTCGATGCTCAGGACCCTACTTCGGCCTCGAAAAGGTGGAAGGCCGAATCGAAAGTGCTTCGCAAGACCCTCGGGGTTTCGGAGAACTATAAGCCATGGACTTCCAGGAGGTCGTTCCTTGGAGTTGGTTTACCAGCTTCGGAGAGGATGTTGGACGTACTGGATTGCTATGTGGCTTCAGAACTTAAAGAAAACTGTGGCCGGCCTGATGAATGTGCCAGGGTGGATATGCGTTCACTGATGGAGGGCAAATTCATCGATGTCAGCCAGGGGGTGAAGCGTGGTGCCCACAGCAACAAATCTGGGTTTGTTCGCACCTTCACAACAAGCACGGTTTTGTATGATTTCAGCCGTGATGTTGTCTTGAGTGGCTACGAGATGCTGCTACTTCATGGTTTCCCACGAGACTTTGTGATTCCGGCCGACATCCCAGAGCCGGAGGTGCGCAAGGTAGCTGGGGATGGTATGTCAATCCCTTCACTTGCTGCTGTCATTTGGTGCTTGTACTTGACACGGCAGTTCCCTGAGTGATGGTGTTCTTGAAAGCCGTAGTGCCCAGCACTGTTTCATATGATGATTTTTGTTCTGTGGGCCTTCTTTGGCCATTCGTAGAAATGCATGTGTCTCGGCAGGATGTGTGAGACAAAGTTTTTTGTGGGACTCATTGATTGTCGGAGTGGCGAGGGTTCTGTGCTGTACAGTATGGCATGGTATAGTTTGGTATAGTATAGTATGCAGCACGTGTAGTGGCAGTGCAGTGTAGTGACGTGTTAGCATGAAGTTTGAATGTGTAATCTTGTGCCAAAGCTAAGAGGATGTGTCCGAAGGAGCTTCAGAAATCTGTTCCGACTTTCTTCTCCCAGTCCTGGAATGGACATATGGAGATTTCTGCAGATGGGAGGCTTCGTTCTCCATCGAGCCACAGAAACAATGACTCAGCGTATGATTCGATGGTGTGCAGAGTTTCGCTGCTTCTGTTTCTGGTAACTACTCCTGGTGAGTTTCTCCGAAGTGCTGGGAAATGGCTAGTAGCTCGTAAAGGAATTATTCAATGCAATAAACTACATATATATATATAAGACATAAAACATAGGGTAGATAGTATGATACTGTGCGTGTCTTGCGAGGCTCTGCAAGTTTCACATCAGGAAGAAGTTGTGGCCGGAAGCAGTCCTAGAGCTGTGTTCAGGGGAGATGTCATTGAGAAAATATCCTGCTCCTGGCAAAAATACGAGACCTACACCCAGACATGTGTACAGTCAGATAATGAGAAGTTTCTGAGCTTTTTAAAATTAGCACTCCACACACTCCTATCCTGTCCCAATCTCTTATTTGTAATGCCTCATGTACCCTGGAGGTTTGGTCCTCGGTTTCATCCTGTTGATTTACTAGAGACCAGGGCTGCAAGGGCTAGATTACGTGTGGAACCCAGCCGGATTGTCTGGTCACTCGAGTTGGAAGTCCAGCCACCAGACTCGCCGCGCCTTGCTTGGAGTCTGGCCGTACAGTTACAGTATCCTAGGTCCCCGGGTCCCTGCTGCTTCTGTACAGCTAGGGCACAGCTAGCTAGTTGTCTTTGTGGCAGATGGATTCGATGGACACATCGAGAGGAGAAGCCGGTGCTGAAAGAGCATTGTGCTTGTGTGGCAGCTGATTCTTTTTTGATTCATGCAGCGTGGGCCATCCCTTTGCAGCCGCAGTTTCTCATGTCTTGTTCCATCCTTGTGATGCTGCAGGCTTTCAGCCGCGTGGGCAGTGAGTCCATAGCTAGTGCTAGTGATCCTTTGTCAAGCCCGGCAGAGTCCAGATCTTGACAATGCGGGCCAGCGGCAGCGGCACTGGTGCTTCCAGACGTGGGAAGGAGTGCTGCGGCTGTGTGTTCGCAGTGTCGCAGAAGTGTCAAGGTGGGTAGCTGGTAGCTGCAGACACGTCTCTCGTTGGGTTGCTGCATTCTGTATCCGCTTGGGAGCCGGTGACTTTTGTGCTTATGCTTGTAGAAACAACGACCTTTGCGTGTCGTCCACTTGGCAGCAGGACAAGACGCCGAAGCGAGGTCCCCCGGGTGATGATGATGCTGACGAGTTCGATCGCAACAGTGAGCGAGGAAGCCGAGCTTCCAAGAAGAGCAGGCAGAGTCAGCAAGTGCCCACTCGAGGCCGTACTTTTGTGAGGAGGTGCCACATGTGCGGCAAGTCCTCCGACGACACCCAACCGCTTCGGAAATGATTGTTGAGTTTTCTTTGAAGTTGCAGCGTGTCGAATCCTGGGTTGTACCACATGTTCATATGCAACGATGGCCAATGTAACCATGTAATTCTTCCATGCTAACGAGTCACGGGCTGCGAAAATGTTGTCTCATACTTCTTACTGTTATCATGCAACAAAGTCAGTGGTGCCACAGAGTGTTATGTCCAAGGAGACGACGTTCATGAGCCAAGATTCCACAGGAATGCCTGTGGATGATGGATGTTACAACTGTGGCGGCACGTGGAGCGACACTAACCCGGGGAAGCCGTGGTCTGCTGGGAAGGAGAAGTGGAGAGCTTAGTCAGTCATCCTTGTTTTCAGCCTATGTGTGTGTGTGTGTTCCGTAGTGCAATGTGGCGGTCATGTGGGGCCAATGCGGGGGAACAAAACAGTGAGGTTCGACAAGGAGCCGAAGTGGCGGCCCAAGTTCCTCAAGTCGGCGAGGATCCGGTCGGGGGAGATCGACCCACCTCAGTGGGACACCGCCAGCAATGTCGTAGACTGGGAAACCGTGGAGATGGAGATTCACCAGGAATTGGGCCTCCTGTCGGAGGCAGAGTTCGAGGCTCTGACAACGTTCGCCGGATCAGCTGTGAAGGCTGAGTTGCAGGAGGTGCCGAGCCCGCTCGGCCACGACAAGAACTTTTTCATCATCACCTTAGATGGGCTTCCCTGCACCGTTACCAACGGAATGAGGAAGCTTTGTTGCAAGTACAGGTTCGGCCTGACAAGGGAGGACATGCTTTTGCAAGCAGCGAAACAGCTTGTAGAAGGGCAAGGGAAAGCGGTTTTCAGCTACCACAGCGAGGAGCAGCTGAAGCAGAGACCGAAGGGACTGCAGACCGAGCAGCAGTTCAAGGAGCTCAAGTCCTTGGAGGGGCTGAAAGAGAAAGCCCAAAAGGCTGTGGCCAAGAGCGGTGCGCAGCCAGTCAAGGCCACTGGTGATAGCAGTTCCGAGGCTGGTGACGACGAGGACGGTGACGGTCCCAAGGCAAAGAAGTTGAAAGTTCAGCAGTCGGGGCGACTGCAGAAGCTTGCCAAGCCCAAGAGGAAGGGGGGCAAGAAAGCACCCGCCGGCGCGGAGATTGCCGTGGTTGACAACCCAGAGGGGGTCCCCAAACCTTTGGAGTCTGTGGTTGCGGCCCGTGGCAACACGCCGAAATGCTTTACCAACTTGCACATTGATCGAATTCTCATGGGCGAGAAGTTGATGAGGAGTGTGGATGCAGTTGGGAACCGAGAAGTGCTGCAGCTGTGTAGTCAGAGTAGTCGGGGCTTGTGAAGGCTAGTGCTAGTGAAGTGATACAAAGGCCGTGGACCGTCTATTGTTGTGTGCAATCGAGTTTTTTCATTGGTCACGTGATTCAGTGTTGCCAGTTCAACCATGAAAGTCATCATTGTAAGTTGTGAGCAGGTTTGTTGCCATTTCAACAAACCGAGTTGTCTTTAGTATTCTAGCAGATTCTAGCAACAGTCATCTGTCTTCGAGGCTTTTCAAGACTCATACACAAAGTTTCAGAAGCTCCATTGCAAGGTTCCAGGACAATGCAGCTGCTTCATAATTCGGTGTCATTAACCGTGCAACAATATAATGAGAGACCACAGTCATTCTCTGCCTAGCAAGGCGAGAAAGATTATGGATGACATGAAGGCCCAGCGCCAGTTCCAATGGAAAACTTTGCACAAACACATCGAACTTTGCGAGATGGCAAACGGATTGGTTCACAACTCCAGCCAGATCACTGCTCGAGAGTGCCGCTTGACCATGGAAAAGTTGTTGTCGAATAACATCGAGCTGCCGTTCAACATCCGTGTCCTGGGAACAGAGAAAATCCTTGCGGGCACTTGGAGCGAGCTTTACCACAGCCCCCAGAGCACCTCTGCCCAGGACAGTGAACTCAATGGTATTCTGCTGGGCACAAAACATTACCGAGCCCTTTAATCCTGTAAGTTACCTATGCCTATGGTCCCAGATAGTCCAACAAAACACTGGAGCATTGTAGTTTTTCCAGGTTTTCGAAGATGTTTGCCCAGTCTGGTCTCAGTGTCTAACATGTCATTGAAGCTCGCAACAGGACATCACTCAGATCGTGGACCAGATGATGAGTGTTCTGATCAGCTGGCGACATTGCATGCCTGAGGACGCAGCTGATGAGGCAGAGAAGAAGGGGAAAGAGGTGGACATCTTCAGCTTCGACGACTTGGCGGCAGAGGTGATGGCGGACAAGGAGGACACGAAGGACGATGAGGAGGAAACCAAGACGCTGCAGGTCTTGGAAGAGGCTGGGATGCTTTTGAGCTTTAAAGTCTTGGTGTCTTGATGCCGAAAAGTTTGGCGCAGAAACTTGAACTGAAATAAACCCGTAGCCGTAACCCTAACTCCAAATATAAAAGCCCGTAATCTTGTACCCGAAGGCCATTGACCGTGATGCTTGTAACGGTAAGCCTTAACCCCCAAAGCCTTTAAACCGAAACCCCGATCATCCGAGTCCTTTTGCCCGTAAACCCAGGCACTTAACTGGCCCTACAACCTAAAAGCACCCAAAAACCTTAGCCCAAACCGCCTAAGCCTACGCCATGGATTCTTGAGACTAGAGTGACTAGAGATGTCGCAAGGTGCCTTGGGTACAGACACAGACCCCAATTTAGTTGTCGCAGTCTTCCGTACTCCAAGCCTTTTCAAGAGTTTGAGCAACCCGGTGTGACAGCGTGTTATTGTCGATAGTGATAGTGAAGGTTGGGTTTGAGTTTCGATGGAATGCATGTGTGTTTTGGTCGGTTGGTGTCAGTGAGTGTTCGTTCAGAAAAAGAGGAGAAAGAGAGAGAGAGAGAGAGAGAGAGAGAGAGAGAGAGAGAGAGAGAGAGATAGAGATAGAGAGCGAGAGAGAGCGAGAGAGAGCGAGAGAGAGCGAGAGAGAGAGAGCGAGAGCGAGAGCGAGAGCGAGAGCGAGAGGGAAAGGGAGAGGGAGAGGGAAAGGGAGAGGGCAAGGGAGAGGGAAAGAGAGAGGGAAAGGGAGAGGGAAAGGGAGAGGGAAGTTGGAGAGGGGAGAGGGGAGATGGGAGAGAGGAGAGGGAGAGGGAGTGTGTGTGTGTTTCTGTTTGCGACGTGTCAGTGTTTGTATGCCTGTGTGCTAGGTTTGCTGCGGGTGGGTGGGGCCGGGCTGAGTTCACTTGCGCTTGTCAGGAGCTGGAGGCATCGATTCTACATGCCATGGGCTGCGGCGAGTTTTTCGCGATGATCGAGGAGCCCAAGCTCCATGAACGCCTCAAAGGTGTGACCGTGAGGTTTGTGACCAGGTATACGGAAGACTCAGCGGAGTCCTTGGAGATGAGCACGCCCATTGCGAATGCAATGAGCACCGTGTTCCAGGCCATGGCGTGCTTGCTGGTTCTCTTGGAGCCAACACCGGGCTTCTTGGGGACATCGGCCAGTGCAGTGGCTAAGATTGTGGCCTACGAAAGCAGCAACCCTGAGGATTTCTTGAGTGCCCTGCGGTTGCACCTCGCAGACCAGGGTATTTGGCAATCGAGGGTGGATGAGGTCTTGAAGCTCGGAGGCAGTGCTTTGAAGTTCGGGCAGGAGTTGAAGGAGCATGTGGATAAGATGAAGTCGATCTCGGGACAGGACGGCTTCAGCGAGCACTTCGTCCAGGCGGTCAACGTAGTTGATACTTTGAGGAATGGGCTTCGCAAGCATGCCGTTGATGAGCTGCTGTCCCTCATCCGAGAGACGACGCAGAAGTACATCGACAAGCTCTGCAGCTCCCCGAGTGTGTCCGAGAGCGACGGAGGCATCATCCAGGTGCTCATGCAGGCCATTGACAAGTTTCCCCAGAAGGACATGTTGCAGCTGAAGCAGAAGTTTCTGAAGTGGCAGCAAAGCGTCCAAGTGGAGCTGCTCAAGCAGGAGGCATCTGCTCTTGGCAACAAGATCCTCAACCAAGCCGGAAACGATGATGAGGAGATCCCGCTGGACGATCTCGCCAAGCTTCTTGACAAGTTCAAGGCCGAGAAGGAGCTGAAGGACGATGCCAAACAGCTGCTTCAGCAGTTTGTTTGGGCCATCATGACGAAGGTCCACAACCAGGACCCGCAGTGACATGTTCAAAAGGGTTCACAATGAAACTTTTCATAGTTCGACTTATCCCTTGGTTCTGGTACTACACCCGCCCTCACACACACATGGTAACTTGTAGCAAACAGACTTCGAGTATGGCAGGTTGGTAGATACCAATGTGTGTGTGTGTGTGCGTAGATTCATTCGGGTATTTGAGCAGTTGTAGCTGGCTGCATTGTAGCTTCCGCCCGCATACACAGACTCAGCAACTGCTATGGTTTTATTCTACATCGCGTCTGTTGAATTTGTTCTTACTGTTTTCATTGCAGGCCTCCAACCTGAAGCGGCTTGCGTACCAGATCTTCAGCCTCCTTGACGGCTTTGGGAAGCTTGCCTTCGCTGACCCGGTGGCGGAGAGCTTGAAGCTTCAGATGCAGTACATGCAGGATGGATTGTATGTGCTGAAGCAGATGGAGAAGTTCCGCAAGCTCGGCAGCGACCCTGCCGGGCGCCTCAAGAACGATGTCAGGTGGGGAGCTCTTCTCACGTACGTGAAGCAGCTGGAGGGTTTGCGGACTGTCAGGGACAAGGCCAGCAGCCGTGTGGACGTTTTGGCATCCTCTGCTCCTACTGAGCATGCCAAACTCAAGGAGCTATGTTTCTCTGACTTGGATCGACCCTTCCAGGTGCCTGAGGACATGAAGGACGCCTTTGTTTTCGCAATGAAGGCCATGCAGAAGGATGCAGAGGAGCTCATCGACAAGATGGGCGACAGCACCCAGAACCTCCACCTCCCGAAGTCCAGATGGACGAAAGATCTCAAGCCCGATGCAACGGCCGAAACGGTGAAAATGTGCATCGCCAGCAGCCTCGACTTTGATGTTTCCCAGCTGGAGCCCACCCTGCAAGCTCTCAAGGAGGCTTCTGTTTCAAAAATAAAGACATAGGTCATAGGTGTCACCAGCCGTCACTAGCCGCAGTAGCCGCTAGGTTTCTTTCTGATTGTCTGTAGTATCCTTTTTGATTGCCTGAGTCGGCATTGGTATGTACACCATGATTGCATATAGGTATTCTTGGAGGTAACTCGAAGGTTGTTTATAAGAAGCTTGAGGGGAGCCGCTGTTTTGCAGGTGAATGCCAAAATTGCCATCTGGAAGAAGAAGGTGACCTTCCTCAAGACTGTGGCGGAGCTTGAGGATGAATTCAAAGCATTCTTCGACACATGCGATAAGGTGAATCAGAGCCTTGTCAGTGGCCATATTTTCAGATCCGAGGGCATTCTCGCAAATGCTTTGATGGAGTCGAACAAGGGGGAAGCGCAAAAACTCGTTCGTGTTGAGCTTTCCTATCTGGCCGGAGATCATTGGCAGCTGGGCATCAATGAGACGCATGTCCATGCAGCTGTGCTGGCAGCTGCAAAGCAGCTGCTGGACAAGAAATGAGATGGAGATTTGCAGGGCCCAGCTTTTAAGTCTTCCAGACATTTTCAGATGTGGTGCTTAGGAACTGATAGGCAAGTTGTTGTAGCGAGATGATAGGTAGCAGCACGTCTTGATTGTTTCGAAGTCGCCGCCAGTTTTTCCAGTCCGTATCTTGGCATACTGTGTGTACTACCATCCTGCCGTGTTCCCGAGACCAGACCACGTCGGGCATTCCTGCTTTTGGAACCATCGCTATTTTACTTTGCAAGCCCCAGGCTTCCAGCAAAGGCTCCATGCCGTGCCAGTTGTTGTGGCTGTTGCTAAACCCCGGAACCCAAAGTACGTACTCGGAGTATACCTGTATACCTTAGGGCTTAGGTCCTAGGCCATCCGGGTTGGTCTTCAGAAGACCAGGCACAGCTCTTATCATTTTTCCTTTCGCTTCACGTGCAAACCTACCCAAAGCTTTGCAGCCTTGCCGCTTGGGGTGAAAAAACCGGAGAACACAGTCCAAGTTCAGTTGGGCTGCTTACTTACGGCCGAGGATGTGTAGGTTCGGGTTTAGCGCTGAGGGAATTGGAGCCGTTTGCACATTTTCATATATGCATATACTGGAATGCAAGAGTGACCTACTTTCATATGTTTTCTGGATTGCGAATCTTAATTGAGAAACCTTGTAAGCCGGAAGTTTTGGTGAACGCATTTCGGCGTGTGTGACATATGCCGACATATGGACTTGCTTGCATTCACGTGAGATCGTAAGATGTTGGTGTGCCGGAGGATATGCTGGCCTCCATTGGCAGGTTTGGAAAGTGCTTCACCGCATAATCTTTCCAGTTCGGCAATGCCTGCAAACATATCGGTAGTAACTCACACCAAAGAACCACCAATCCTGAATCACCTGGTGGGTGATTGTACGTGTCCAGGTCATAAGCAAAAACAGTTCCACAACCATGACAGATCCACCAAACATCAACAACAGTCCTTGGAAACCGCTGAAAGCATACATGGATGACACCAGCAGACAAGATGACAGAACACACATTGGAGTGCAACACATGACATAACACCGTAGCTATTTTGGCCTCTACCGTAGCCGTTTTTGCTCGATGAGCGTCCGTGCCAACCAAAGGCAGTTTCTATACTGCCACGAGACGTGGACAAGTCATGTCGTAGAATCCCTTGAAATGTTAATGTCCGTTGATATGTACTGTGCCCGTTTTGCTCACGTGGCACGCTGCGGGGTGTAACGTGGTCACCGCAGCTGCTGTTTGTTGAGCTTTCCCTGGGTGCATTCACGTTTCTGGTGGTCTATGACATTCGTT